TATAGAAATCTCCTAGAGCACCAATTCCAAAAGAACAGAGTAAAATATTCAAAACCAAGAGCATCATTCAAAACCATAATGATTTGCTGTGATGCAACAAGGCTATGTATCTATCCTGTGGTTTCTAATGAGCTTCTGCGAGCAACAGACACTTCATCCCACTGTGGTCTTATCTTACTGTTGCATGTGTTTTTCCAGTTGTTTCACAGTCTCCAAATGTACCGACAGTTGGTCCTCCAGTTTCAGGGCAGTAGCTGTTGTTTCTCTTTCCTTCTTATCCAAGGTAGCTACCAAGTTCTGAACACAACGCTCAGAATTTAGGTATTTTTCTTCCACTTCCCGCAACTGTGAAATCACAGAAAGAATCCACAGTTGTCAGGTGAGCTTTTAGACAGAGGAGTCAGCTGCTGCCCAAGGATTCACATGCTGCAGGTATCTGCCCATACCCTGTGCCCAAAGAACTGTAATCATCTCAAGAACTTTCAAAGCTTTGCTTCTACTAGCAAATGTACACAAGCTGTGTTACTTCCTAATCATCTACAGTGGCCTGTCCCATTCTTCCACAGATTTCCTAGAGCATGATTCTAAGCACTAACAGTGCTGCTTCAGCTCTTTTGGGGATCTGTGATGATGCTCTTTGTATTCACTTTATTTGCTACTGCATGAAAGCATGGACTGAATTGCTTTTATTCCTAAAGAAGGAGGAATTCTTGAAAGTGTCAGAGGAAAACTGCTGGAGCAGACCTGCTCTGGAGCACAGCATGGTGCCAGGGGGAGTTTTCTGAAGTGGCAGAGACCTCAAATGCAGCACTGAGAGAGGTATCCAGTTCCCCCTGAGTGGGAGGTGACAGCAGATATATCCTGGTGAGCACCATTTCAGAATGGTCAGACCTGCTCTGGAGTTGGGAATTGCACCAGGGTGCTTGGGGAGTGTTCTTGAACCAGGAAGACCTCAAATGTCGAGCAGAGAGAGGGAGCCCCATGCCCTTGACTGAGGAGGGGGGAAACCCTGAGGAGAGGCAGCTAGTGGGGGGCAGAGGCAGGAGGGACAGAGGAAGATCAAAGCCCAATATAACCACCACTTCCTTAGACTTCCCTGCTTCCTGGGATACTGTCTTGTTCTTTTTCTGGATGTATTGGAAGAGACAGGCACCCAAAGCTTGATTCTGAAGGCACAGGCTTTCCCTTACTCTGCTAAAACCCCAGCCAATTCCTTAGGCAAGTACAGGTTGCCTTTCTCCAGGTCAGCCTTGTGGCTCGTAGTAACTGCTAGTGAAGCTTTGGATGTAGATTGCTCTAGAACTGCATTGGCAACCTTCTGCTGCAGCTGTGGAGCCCTAGGGAAATGGTGTTACACAAGCATGAAGTTTTCACTGGGCATATTTTGGGTGCTTTTATTTATTCAGTTGCAGAATTAGGCCTGTCCTCAGAGTGAATTCAAACAAAGAAATGCTGCTGGCCACCAGAAGGTAGCCAAAAAATTGTAGTGAACTCTTCCTCCTCCTTTTCCAGCAGCCTGATGCTGCCAGGGGGAAGCAGAGAAAACTTTACTGCTTCTATTCACGACTAGAAATGCCACTCAAAGGCCACTTGCTGTGAAAGCCAGGTAGGTCCTCAGCTGATTTCTGAGCAGCCTGTATTCAGCAAAATGCAGGAATCCAGCTCCCCTTGGCTCTTCAGGAAAACCTCACCATAAAATGTGCCTACAGAATTAGGTAACTAGGCATAGGAGTCATGAAAAGGAGAATTCATGAGCAGCTTACTGAGGCAGAAGCTTGCAGGTCTCTCAGCAGGGCTTCAATCTTGTCACTTTGTTTGTGAACAGTGGCTTCCAATTTGGTATTTTGAATTTCAAGGCTTAAAAAAAAATAGAGGTCTTATTGCCATAAAATCCACCAGAACAAGCACCAATCCCAGATAAACAGCATTGAAGTTACAGAACTGAAAGCAAGAGTCTCCTTCAAAATCAGAGTATCTATCCTGTGGCTTCCACCCAGCCCCTGCAAGCAACAGACACATCTTCCCACTGCCTTGTTCCCTTACCGTTGCACATGTTCTTCCAGTTGTTTCACAGTAGTCTGGTTCTGAAAACATGCTAACAGCTGGTCCTGCAGTTCCTGGGCAGCAGCTAGCTCTTCTCTATCCTTCTTATCCAAGGCAGCCATCAAGTTCTGAACACAACGCTCAGAATTAAGATATTTTTCTTCTACTTCCTGCAACTGTAAAAT